GGATGAGCTGGCCGCCAAGCTCGCTGCGGAGACACGCTGTCGCGTACTGCTCTACGACCGTGGCCCGGGGAGCTCGGCGGCCGCGGACATCGCCGCGCGCATGTGGGATTATGTGCGCGGGACTAGGCATCTGGGGAGCGAAGGCGGGAATCGCCAAGATGAGTGCGGGCTGGATGGGCCCTATCTTCTCGTTGCGCACTCATCCGGCGGCGCGTTCGCACGCGCCTTTGTGCAGCATGAACTCGAACTCCCGCGGCGGCGGCGGCACAGCAAAGGCTCGGCGAGCCACGTCTTAGGTCTCGTGCTCGTCGAGACCGGGCAGGAAGGCGGCCTTGACCCGGCGCTTGACGAGCTGCAGATCCGTCGCCGGGTCATGGGGCGCCGCCCCGTGTGCGTCGTGAGGGGAAATACCTTCATCGGGAAATTGAGGTCGCTCGAGGAGAGCGAGAGGGCCGTGGCCGCCCCCGAGATGAGAGCGGGGGATCACGCGGCGGCGCGGAGACGGGTGCTTGCCGCTGAGCGTGAGATGCTCGTACTCGCTGACGCTGAGGATGAGCGGCTCAAGCGCAGACAGCTCGGCCTCTCGAGGACGAGTCGATTCGTGCAGGTCCCGGAGTGCGGACACCATGTGATCCGGGATCGCCCTGACGAAGTCGTCGCTGCTGTGCGGTGGGTTCTGAGCAATGCGGTGGACGAAGAGGGACAGGGGAGTCCGTGGAAGCAAGCTATGGAGGCTGTGAAGCGGTTTGGACTACGGCGGTGAGGCATTTGTATCGATTACGGAGCTCGAGAATTACATGCTAGCTGGCATTCATGTGTTGGGTCTTGACTAGGTAGTCTCTCTAGGCTTCGTCTCTACTCTCAGATAAAGTGGACTTTCTTTACGATGCTACGCCGTGTGTAGATGATCTAACCTGTAAGTATCATAATCAAAAGGGTGCAATGAATCCTCTCTATTATACCTACTGTATACTAATTACTCAACAAATGCACCATGTTAAAGGTAAGGATGGTGGTGAAGTAGAAACTCAACTCCTCGATAGCAACCGCATGTTTCTATTCATAGGTGATGCCAAAAGGGTTGACTTACCAGCCTAAAGATAGTATTGGATTCACCGCATCTCTTAGCCACCCAGTTCCAGGACAACTACTATGATGCTGCGTTTGCCACCAAATCCGCTTCACTGGTATATACCCGATCATGAGCTAGTCTTCATAGCGTTTGTTGCCAGCTACGAGGGCGACATCATGGCACTCGGAGGTGCGGTGGCCAGAGCCGTATCTTGAATGGGGCAGCCCTTCCTTTACATTGCCACTTGGGGACTGGTCAGGGGATGCAAACACACAGCTGGATCCTTGGAGTTTAAACCTAAATATACAGACTCCGGAGCTTTTACAAGTTGGATTGACTTCATACACGACCTTCGTGACGTATATCCCTCCTCCTAAGTCTCCTACTACACCTGACCTCATTGCTTTTACTGTGAGAGACATGTATCAAGCTGTATATTTATAACAAGAGAAGGACTAGTCATAGCGAACGGTCAGTTGGAATCTGCCATGTAACACATCGGATACGTGGAGCCAACACGGAGCCAGCTGCATGTTGCCATGGTGCGTCGGCATGGTGCCGAGTCGCCTTACCTGTATCGTCTGAACATCACACAAATGCAATTTCTACGGTGCTAAAAGGGGCGGGTTGCGTTGTTGCTTGTGGAAACTTGATCCTTCGTTTGCATGCCCAGTGCCTGCCTTTTCTAGCAGGGAACACCTCTCTGACATGAAATAAACCTATCGTCCCGTCATATAAAGCCCAGCAAGTTTTTTTTAATTCCATCAGCCAATTTTTGTTTGATACGGCTTGCCGCATGACATTAGTAGTGAGGCGAAGATCTGTTACCATCTACACACCATCGGGCACGAAGTTAAGAAGAAGGGTTGAGAGAGAGCGTGCATCTCATATTGTGAGCCGGACACAAGGCATCTTGAGGCAAAAGAATAGTGGAAGCCTAGTGGCTTCGCGGAGAAAGAAGCCAGAGTTGTCATACTCCCTATTAGAAGGATGAAAACAAAGTTCTATGCCCGTTTTTAGAGCATGCACTGCCAGTGTGCCTGATAAGAAAAGCTAATGCATGACTCCGTCGCCAGATAAAGGACTGCCGCTATTCAAACGGCGTCGTACTGGGTAGCCGCAATAACTCGCAAACAGACACCTTAAGCTGGAAGGGGGATGGGGTCGTCCCCCCTGCGATCTCATCAATGTTAAAGATATATAATGGTATTTCCACAATCCTATCTCCTATTTTCCTTTTGTGATGACCAGACTCAAGTGGTGACTGTGTATCCTTTACTACCATATTAATACCATCCTCATTATCTTCCAGCACAAACAAGTGACCTTGTTCAGTATGGAAGGATTCCCGTCCAATCTGATGAACTCCGACCTGCTGGAGAAGATCGATGGGCTATTTGCTTGCAATGCTGGTCATTATGTTGACCTCCCCCAGCTTGTTGTGGTCGGACATCAATCCAGCGGCAAGAGCTCCGTCCTGCAAGGCTTGACCAACCTTCCCTTCCCGCGAGATAGCGGACTGTGCACATGTTTTGCCACGAAAATCACTTTTAGACGGTCCAACGTGGAGAGCATCGTAGCTTCGATTGTCCCAGCTAAGGACGCATCGACAGAGCACCAGGCGCACACGAGAGAGTGGAGAAGAGAGCTCAAGGTTCTCGACTCCCCTTCTTTTGCTATCATCATGTCCGAGGTACTACACCGATCTCCCCACGTATGAATCGCGTCTGTGGCTTACCAGATTAAGGTCGCTTCTGTCATGGGTGTCGCATCGACCGATAATCAAGTTCCTCAGCGCGCCTTCTCCAAGGATGTGTTGGTACTCGAGATAGCCGGCCCTTCGCAAGAACATTTCAGCGTGATCGATGTCCCTGGGACGTTCAAGAGGAAGACCGAGGGCGTCACAACAAAGGAAGACATGGCGCTGGTAGACGACATGGTCCGATCGTACATGTCAAATCCACGATCCGTCATGCTGACCGTTGTGTCAAGCAACGTCGATATTGCCACGCAGGAGATCGTTGAGCAGGCGGAGGATCTTGATCCCGAGGGGATCAGGACCTTGGGCGTCTTGACGAAGCCAGACTTAGTCGATAAGGGTGCCGAAAACGATGTAATCGAGCTGATAGAGGGTAAGAGACATCGGTTGAAGCTCGGGTGGCACGTAGTTCGTAACCTGGGCCAGGCCGAGCTAGACAATCAGACCTCGTCGCGCCGCACCATGGAGGATAAATTCTTTGAAACAGAGTCACCATGGAACACGCTCGACAAAGATAAGGTGGGCATCGACTCACTGCGTTACCGCCTCCAGGAGATCCTCGCCGCTCACATCCACCGCGAGTTTCCAAAGGTAAGTAAGAAGAAGAGAGTGTTTAGGCCATCCACCACCTACCGAGTCGTTCGCTGATCAGGTTCCTCATTTGGCAGGTCAAAGCGGAAGTTGGTCAGAAGATCAAGGAGGTACAGAGACAGCTGAACAAACTCGGACCCAAAAGGCAGACGCAAGCGGAACACGTTCAGTTCCTGATGGAAATCGCACTGCGCTTCCAGGACGCAGCGGCGGCAGCAGCCCGCGCTGATTATGGGCAGTCGAGCCTCTTCGGTGACAAAACGTTGCGTCTGGCGACCAGTGCAATTAACCGCGGCGAGGAATTTGCGCGCCTCATGGGCACTAGTGGCCATAGGTATAAGTTTGATAACTCAGACATAATGAAAGATATCTCCGATCTCGAACCTGAGACCTCTGAGACCTCTGAGACGGGCCTGGATGGACAGAGCACAGAGGGATCCTCGTCCCAGTCGAACACGCGGAGAGTGCCGAACCATGTCGACGTTGAGGACCTTATGCATAACGCTATAGCCACGGTCTCGGCGCCTCGCGACCACCAGATCTTATCATGGCTGAAATCCGTCTATCGTCAATCCCGCGGATTCGAGATCGGTACCTTTGACGATAAGCTCCTGGCTATTACCATGAAGGAGCAGGCTGCTAAATGGCATGACTTGGCCTTGGGGTACACTAGCGATACCATCGTCATGGTGCACTCCTTTATATCTCATTTGCTGGGGGATATTGTAGCAATCGACCGAGTGCGGCGGGGGATTATGGCATTGCTGATGGAAGAGTTTCGGACCAAGTACCAGGCTGCGCTTGATCATACTAATTTTCTTCTCAACGTAGAGCTAGATGGGAAGCCAGCGACGCTCAACCATTACTTCAATGACAACCTGTCCAAATGGTACGTCCTAGCCGCCCTTGCCCCTATCCCCCCCCCCCCCCCCCCTAGCACCCACGACTTGCCTAAGGACCAAATAAGCTAATCATGACATGCATAGCCGTAAGGAGCGTCTTCTTCGGTAGATCCGAGATAAATCGTTCTCGGACTGTAAGCATGGCGAAGTGGTCCGCGTCCAAGATGTCGCTCAGAACCACCCTCTGGGAAACGTGGATCACGTCATCTTCGAGATCCACGACATACTCCGGGCGTACTACAAGGTTGCCCTGAAGCGCTTTGTAGATAACGTGCGCATGCACGTCGCCGATCACATCCTGATAGCCGGGCCCGAGACGCCCCTGAAGCTGTTCTCGCCGACCTTCGTGACGGCCATGACGGAGGCACAATATTTTGATAGAGTATGTCTTCGATTCTATCAGATATCACACATCACATAGTACAATTAGAGGAGGTGGCGGGCGAGGAGCCCGGAGTGCGGCGGAGGCGAGCTGCTCTGGAAAAGGAGCTTGGCCTCCTAGAGCAGGGCCGAAAGATTCTCCAGTAGATGTAGCTAGCCCCCAGTCATGTGCGTATCAGCACGGTCATGTAGAGCAACTGTGGTAGCGAGGTTGTTAGAATTTTCGAAAAAAATCCCTTCTCCAAGCAGAACATAAGGAAAGGGGCCAAAAATGAACAAAATGATACAAAATAACTGGACGAACGGGGAATTGAACCCCGGACCCCTCCCAGACACTTGTGACTCCGGAGAGTCATCAATGCGAAGGGAGTATCATACCCCTAGACCATTCGCCCTGTTACGTGAAAATCGAGTTCGATTATGTGTCTATAACCATCAACTTTTGCGCTGGGTCATAATCACAATTCTCTATTGATGTTTACCAGTCTCAGGTGAGGTGACAAGGTTGCTGATTAATATTCCGTTATTCTAACATTGTGTATCCGTGACAGCGTTCAAATCAAAGTATCGTCGATAACGAGCGAACCCCGCCTTATCGTGTACTCATTGTAAACAAACCCCACATCCTGAGCATGCAAGTCTAATGGATAAAGTACCCTATCTATCCGTACTAAGTACCCAACCTCGTATACAGGTAGGTACCTAAGTTAGGTAAGTATACCTGTCTCTCATTCGCGGGCATATGCACCCCACAAGGATGGCATGTCTTGGCCGCCCAACCAGCACGTTCCCTCGGCGGTCCCTCGTCTTGGCTTCATTATCGTACAGCAATACTATCGTGTAGATCCCCCGTATCACTCGAGATCGCCGCGGGTCCGTGGTCCGCGGTCTCGAGCTGGTATCTTTATTCACAACCGCAACATAATCATAATATCCCGCATCGATGCGCCGGCAAGAATCATCTCCGAGTATACGACAAGGCACTGCTGGAGGGACAAGAGTCAAACCGGGATCATCGTCGAGAGGTGCGCGCGAAGGCTCGCCAGCATCCCACTGTCGTTTTCGGCCAACTCAGCACCGCCTTCGCCGCTGCCGCTGCCGATGCTCCCCGAAGATGGCGCATGGCAGCTTCGAAACCACCCGCTTGATGTCATGACGCCCCTGCTCCGCCGCAAGTCACGCATCACCGCCGCCGTCGTCTTGCTCCTGCTCCTGTATCTCCTCGTCGGGCTCGTCCCCGAGAAACACGACGTCCTCTGGGGCTTTACCTATGTTCGAGAGAGTTACGACTGGTCGCAACAGAAGATATACTATCCCGTATCCGAATATACTCCGTTGCCGACCGGCCGGCCCCGGTCACTGCCCCCAGTCCAGTATGCTTTCAAGGACGACAGGAGCCCCGAGGGCGTCGCGCGGGAGGTCGTCTTGGCATCGCGGCGCGCCGAGGTGAAGGAAGCCTTTTTGAAGAGCTGGCAGAGCTACAGAAACGTTGGCTTCGGGTACGACGAGCTCATGCCTGTGTCGGGAGAGGGCCGTGACGTCGCCGGCTTTGGTGGATGGGGCGCCACCCTCGTCGATTCCTTGTCATCTCTTTGGATAATGGACCTCAAGGACGATTTCCACGAGGCCGCCGCTGCCGCTGTCACCATTGACTATTCCAAGACACAGGATACGTCTTGCAACTATTTCGAAACCACCATACGGCACCTCGGCGGCTTACTCGGCGCCTACGACTTGAGCAAGGAGACGGCGTTGCTGGAAAAGGCGGTTGAGCTTGGCGACATGCTCTACATGGCATACGATACCCCGAATCGCATGCCTGGCTTCTGGTTCGACTTCCAAGAGGCCAAAACGGGGAGACAGGTTGCTGGGACCCACGACCCGTCGGCTGCCGTAGCTTCGTCGTCCCTAGAATTCACCCGTCTAACACAGCTGACTGGCGACAACAAGTACTATGACGCGATCAGCAGAGTGACGCAGGTATTAGACGAATGGCAGAACAGAACAAGCTTGCCGGGAATGTGGCCGACTTACTTCGATCTTCGAAATATCGATTTGGGAAAGGACAATAGCTTCACGGTTGGCGCACTCGCCGATAGCCTTTACGAATATCTTCCAAAGACATTCGCTATACTTGGTGGTCTTGAGCCGGTGTACGAGAAATTGTACCGCGGGGCGATGGATACAATCATTGAAAACGTCTTATTTCGACCTAAGCTGCCTGACCAAGCGGACATTTTATTCCCGGGAAATGTCTGGGTCACGGGAGACGAGCCGCGCCTGAGCGCTGAATCTCAACATCTCTCATGCTTCGCCGGTGGCATGTTCGGGCTGGGCGGAAAGCTTTTCCAGATACCGGAACACGTCACGATTGGCGAGAAAATGACCGAGGGTTGCGTGTGGGCCTACGATGCGATGCCGACTGGAATCATGCCCGAGATCTTCAGTCTTCTGAAGTGCGAGAGCCTGGAGCCCTGCGAGTGGAATCAGGAAGAATGGGAAATCGTGGGCGATACAAACTTAAAGCCGGGCTTCAAGAGTGCGCGGGACCCTCGCTACCTCCTCAGACCTGAGGCCATCGAGAGTGTCTTCCTCATGTATCGCATGACCGGTAAATCCGAGTACCAGGAAACAGCATGGAGGATGTTCAAGGCCATCCGCAAGGCGACTGAGACCGACTTGGCGTTTTCGGCCATCGAGTCGGTTAAGGTGACTGACACGGTAAAGGTCGATTCGATGGAGGTTAGTAAAACCAATCCCCTGTTTGATGTGCCCCTTGTCCGTATAATGGCTGACTCGCTAATGGCCTTGTAGAGTTTCTGGCTGGCCGAGACTCTGCGGTATTTCTACCTAATATTCTCATCACCAGATCTGGTACACTTAGACGAGTTTGTCCTCAATACGGAAGCCCACCCTCTTCGACGACCTGCCCCGTCAACGGGAAAAGCTCGCGACGACTAGATGCGTGAAGGGCACGACCGAAGTGAATTAGTGGTGAATTAATGGAATGATGATGAGGGGACCGGATGATGAGGCGAATTATTAAAGAATAATCTAATGAGTAATGATGCATAACACTGCGTTGGATCCCACCACACGCGGACGGCATTGATCCCCCGCGTTTTTTACAGGTACATAGATTATCGTTTCATACAGCAGAGCATGCACGTAATTCTAGTCACACGTGTTGTGTCCCAGTGCAATCTGTGCAGTGTTGCGGTGCATGGAACGCGACATGAACCATCACATACTTATTATACTCCGCAATGTTCAACTTGTATTATGCTTTTAACATTACACTGCCGCTAAAAAACACGTCACTCCTGTACCATGGGTTCGGGACAGTCCGGCCGGCAAGAAAGGCAGAAAAATACTTCGCCACGGAACGTTCTGGTTTAGGACTCACCCCAGCTGCTAAGCACTCGCCTTAATGGTTACGACCTCGGGTATACATAATATAGCAGGTTTATCCTCCATTCCGTTACATAGACTCTCGGTCAAGCTTGCTGTTTGGTAATCCGGCAACGCTCGGTAGCATGCAATAGAGTCTTGGGGATCGCGTAGGGTATCTGGCCTACCTCACGCTGATCAGAAAACGTTACACCGTATCACAGTGTGATACTACCGTAGGTGCCGGGCGTGACACCGTTACGAACGTATCGCGCCACCTTCGCATTTTAAGAACCGAGTCGAGGGAATGTCCGGTGGACTGACTGTGCCGCATACTTGCGTTTCCCTCCCCCCCGAAAGGTACGTTACCTAGGTCAGATTTAGACGGAAAGTTCGCTCCCCTCCTCGGATTGTTGGGGATTCGCTTTAACGAATTTCAAGCAAAGAAGGCCGTTGTGAGGCATTCGACGGGCGATCGCGATCGCGATCGTCTCGTCCCGTCTCATTCCCTTGCCCGGTGTCATCTCATGAAAGACGGGCGGCCGTTCCTGCAATCACGGCAACGTCATGATCTGTGCTTATATTAGATGGTGTGAAGGTAGGAGGTAGGTATGCGGTGCGCACGCTGACATGTCGTGCGCCCCCAAGCAGTCATTGGCATGTTGGTTTCACACAACTATCCTTCTCACTGCGGCGCGAGAGGGGGAGGCGGGGGGCGGACACTTTGCTGATGTCGCTGGCAGGTTTTTTCCGACTCGTTTTCACTCATTCTCCCGCGACTATGAGGGAGGGATTACGGGACGCTTGGGCCCGGTAAATACCTTTCATAAGGTTTTCGTTCAAATTCTCTCTTCCATGTAAGAAGACCCATTCAGTCAACCAAGGTGTGGTTACGACCTGAACTCAATGACCGGCCGGAACCGACGATTCACCAGAGGTCGTTCGTTCCGCGGCAATGAGATGTAACGATACACTACCTGCACGATGCTGACAAGCAGTTGAGCCCACCGGGGTTTCTCGCAGCCGACGCTTCAGCCACGGCGCGTCGTGGAATCGTTGGAGCTGGACGGGATTCAGACAGACCCCAGGGAAAAGAAGGCTGATACCTAACCGGGCTCACTGAAAGAGGAGAGGAGAGGGCGCCCTCTTTCTTTTCGGCAAGGGGAGCCCTGGATGCCCGGCACGTACCCCAAGTATGCATGTACGGATAGGTAAGTAATATTTTCAAACTTGTGGCGTGGGCCTGTGTAGTGCTGGAATCTGGGATCCTGAATTACGGCACATGCGGCCCTCGAAGCCGCTTGGCGACGCAGTCATCATTGCTGCCCGTCACAGCAAACAGGGACAGGCAGTTGATGCGTATGTATGTACATAGGCGCACCCTTCGTAAATACCAAGGGTCCGGGGTGTAATGGGCGAAGTGTTCGGGACGTTGGTACCATCCCCCCCCCCCAATCCCCCACCGGCAAGTCTTTCTAGATCGAATCTGCAAGATCGTTTCGCTCCCTGTCTACCAAATCTCGAGTATATCTGGAATGCGTCGGAGGTTGACGTTGCATTTTACTCGAGAGAGAGATATATATAGTACCGGCACTCTTTCTCTATCAACGTTATCAGAAGAGAAACGATAATGGGCGCTTTTGCGCTGCGAGTGGCTGTATTTATATTAAACGACAAGAGAGTAAGGTAGCCGGTACTGGAGTTAACGTGATGAGAGAGTCGCCAACGACCGGTTCACTCTATCTAGAGCACGCCTTACATACGGCCATGAGGGGTAAAAGCACACTGGAACAGATAATGCTTTAAGCGCATGGTGAGCCTTTTGTTCGATTTCAGTCTATTTCTATATGCCGTTTATGAGTTTTCCGGTCCTCGACGGCAGAGTTGGGATGACTGTATCGACTAGTGTGGGGGCAGGTAACGATAGATTTGACCTCTTTAAAGATCATGACATACGTACTCTGTACATGTACCTATAACGCACGTAAACAAACAACGGTGACTA